AGAAAACAATCAACATTAACTCTCTAAGTTTGATATCCATTTTCCAAAGTTGTGGCATGAGTTGAGATTCATTGATTGATTCAAAGTGTTCAGTAGTACGGAAGCCCTAAGAGGACATGCATACATACATTTTAATATACTCCATTTCTAAAGTCTTTAGATATGAACCATTGGGAAACTAGAGCTTTTATCGGAGATGAAAGAAAGACGAATAAGATGAAATCTTGAAAAAGATCAACATGCCAAGAACATGGAGTGAATTTAAATGTATGGATGAATGTCTGCTTAGGGATTCCATACAGTAGATATGTCTTTTGGAAAGTAATCATTATTGACAACCAGTTTCCTGCCTTTGATTGACATTTTTGCAAAATCGCTGTCAATGTCAACACGGCAAATATGACCTTCACATCATTTTTAATATTAAACTTTAGTAAATCAAAAATCAATAACTACCCTGTTAACTGCGAACCGGGCAACCCATTTCCTACCTGTTCACCAATTTCTTGGCACAGTTGCCAATGGCAACCTGGCAACTAGGCCACTTGCCCTGAGACAAACTTGACCTAATGATTCATCGATTAAACCCGTGTTGCAAATGTATCTTTAAGAGAATAATCAATATAATCCCCATTTCAACTTCAAGACACACACACACACACACACAGCCTCCTTCTCTAACCCTCATATCGGTGCGGGTAATGAAGCCGTTGCCCTCCACATCGCAGGTCCTGAAGAACTCCTTGGTCTTGTCCAGCAGGGCGATTCGACCCCACTTTGAGCCCCTCCTCCCTGGGCTCAGTCCGTTCACATGGCCGCCCTCCTCCTGCTCCATGTCTGGGACTCTTTTCCTTTTTTTTTTAAGGCTTACACTTAAGCAGCTGGGGGTGCAAGCGGCATGTATTTCAGTGTGGGTGAGGGGTGAAATCAGACATTAGGGCCTCCTTACTGGCTCTGTATCCAATGCTCTGGGGCTTGTACGGTCGTCATGGCGACAAGAGGCAGGAAGATGGCGAGATTGCTTGATAACTTTTTGTTAGCTTTATCATAAACTCAGAACTGTTTGCAGGCTCCTAAAAGACAAGAGAAAAATGATTACTAATGCATGAGGAAGGTGACTTTTTATCAAAACTGTTACATAAGTGCTCAAAATAATGCAACAGTACCGGACTTATCACGACCACACAGTACTTCCCCTTTCTAATGAGCCAAGAACAAGAAACACTCAAAGGTATGTAAACACAGTGTAAAGGATTATCTTAATACCCAGCCATACAGAACACATGACAGTGTAATGCCTACAAGACTGTGGGAGAACACAGGGCTGTAATTTATCCCCTCTGTGCTCCAACAACTGGTCTTGATTTCATTTTTTATTACAACTTCATGACTTTAAATGAGGTTTTAAAAACTCTCTTCCAAATTCCAAATGAGAACCATGTGACATATGAGATGCAGATGTTCATTTTTGAGGCCAAAGTGAAAAAAAAGAAAGTTTTCATTAAGATGAAAGCAAAACACGCGAGATCTAAAACTAGATGTTTAGAGCGTGATAATAAGACATTAAATACATTAAACTTCTCTTAGGGAACTTTTCAAGTACACATAAGTTACAATTTCCGACACAGGGCTCAGTTATTTCACACTCATCATAACAAAAATGTCACCATCGTGTTCTTTAGAAAGTATGAAGAATGCGAAAACATTCGGTTCTTCCCTTTTCAACAAATACAAAAATGTCTTTCTTCTTAACATGCCTTGCCTGTGGAATACAAACTCACCTCCAACAACAAAATGAAGAAGTCTCACCTTTCTAAAACGACGTACGCATAGACACTAAATCCTCTTCCCGCTGTCGGCATCGACAGAGCAGCGGTCCGAGCGCGCTCTGTGTTTAGGAAGTCTTGACTCACAGATGAAAGTTTGAGAAGTCACTCTGCAACCATGTGATGTCATGAGGAAGCAGCCTGAGGGAGAGTGCAGCTTGGGCCCACACACACACAAACACACACACAAACACACACACACAAAAACACACTGCTGCTGCCGCTGAAAGAACTTTACAGGGAACTTTTAAGATTTATTGATTCCAAGGTTTGCCGCCCTTTTCTTACAGTGCCCTCTTGTGGTGGAAGATGAAAACACACACCAGTATTAGGTACAAAAATACAGTGAATGGAAAGAGGCAAAGCGACTTATTCAACCCATTGCATCACAGATAAAAGTGTTGTCAGTGTTAAAAACACAGTCCTTAAAGTCTCTAGTCGAATAGAGGCAGGGTACTTTCTTTCCCCGTGAACAGTTCAGTCTCAGCTCTGGTTGGAGAGTCATTTTCCTGCTCCTTGGATCTTTTGAAGCAAATACTCCATCTGGAGGTTCAGGTTGGGCTGTCCTTTCTTTGTCTTCTTGCTCAGCATCTGGAACGTCTCCACCTTCTTCTGTTTGTACCTCTGGGTGGCTTCTTCTCGCTGCTGCTTGTTCTTCAGGTACTCCTGGTATAAACAGAACAACAAGACAGTGTGTCACATTACAGAACCATGGTCAGTTTCGGAGGCACCATCAACAACCCTGATTCATGTACAGAGAACAGATTACAAATTTCAACACTCGTGCTATTAATGTTTGAACCAGATTGTATAACTCTCGTCTGTTGTTGATTTTCAAAACCTTTGCCTGTAAATTTGTCTTTTTCATTTATTGTGAATTCAATTGTAACATTTCTGTTATTCTAGGATGCCTTGCAAAATCAGGCAAGGGCACTGAAGATGAAAATTAATCTTTCATACAACTAGGATTCACTTATTGAAGAAAGTCAGACAGCAATGTGACCTGAGGTGAAAAAAACAACACATTTTTTTCTTATCGTTCATAGTCAACAACAAACAACACAATGTGTCACCTCTCTCTTATTTTTCCGTTTATCCCTGACTGCTTCAAATTCCTCTTTGGTCTTCTGGTAGGATGTCTTCTTCAGCAGTTTTTTCCTCATGCGGTTGCTGATTGGCAGACTGCAAGAGAAAATTAGAACGAATGTATAACTTCACGTCAAGCTAAAAAAAAAAAAAAATCTTTCTTGTTTTTAAAGAGTTCAGAATGTGATGCTTTTTGAACCCACTGATCTGAGATTTTTACACATGAAACAATATTACTTAATTAATTGTTCAAATGTTGCGCTACAAGCCGCACCAATTTGTTAAATGTCACACAGCGCCCCCTAGAGGCCACATGGCTGTTAAACTTGTTTTTTAAAGCTCTGAGAAAGATGGAGAATATGTTTTTCTCTGTCTTTACCATTCACAGGTTTGTTAATGAATGTGATTTCTTTAATTTTCTGCAACATTTCTCCAAACTTCCAAATAAATATATTCTCATAAAGTAAAATTTCAGATAATGACACAACAAAAATAAGTAGCGTTGATGCTATATTATCAACTGGCTGATTAATCTATGTAATATTTATATTGTACAGCAGCGACTACACACCTTTCTTTCTCGGGGGCTGCAGATACTTCCGAGTTCCCAGCGACAGATTGCGTGACCTCAGATCCACCAGTCGCCTCCGGGTCCGGATCGGCAGCTTCACCCTGGTGTGCCGTGTCATCGATTTCTCCGTCTTTCTCCTGTCCTTTCATTCTCAGTATACTCCTGTTCATTCTATTCGTCCAGGCCTCATTCTTCAGTTTCTCAGCCTCAGCCATGTACAGATGTTTGAGGTGTTCTGGGTACTCCTCCTTGTAGAGGGATTTAGAGTCGAGGTTCTTCCTCTGCTCCTTCCGCAGCAGCTTGTTGTACTCATGTTGGACTTTTTGCTTTCTCTTAAAGGCAAACCCCTGACCTGAAAACAGAAGACACATCGTGATACGTCAGGTTTATATGGAGGGATTCTTCATCATTATCAGTACTATCAACATGATCATACTGGTGTTGGAATAAACTAATATTACCCATGATTCTTACATCAGAAACCTTCAAATACTCATTTATTTAATTTAACTTATACCGACACTTTACTCTGTGATTTAATTTAATTATTTTCTTCTACATTCTTATCAGAGTGTTTTTGTTTTTTGGTTATTTTCGTTTTTTATGTGTATATGTGACTGTGTGTACATATGCATACATGTTTAAAAGAAGAAAAAAAAAAAGGAAAAAGGTAAATTGTATTTCTGTGATTGGAAGTATCGTTTAGTATTTTTATTTTTTTTCAATAAAATTTTTGGGAAAAAAAACAAAAACATAGTTACACCGAAAGATCAAACGATTACCATGCAATACAAACGATAAAAATCGATACAAGATATGGACAATTTGATTTAAATTATTCCCAAACTAATAAGATAGTGGTGACTCAAATAGTACAGATTTAAAAAAAAAATTATCTTTGGGTTTAAAACAATATAAATATATTAGGTAGATGATGTCGCTTTGTTTACTGTCTCTTCATCAATGCAGCGTGAACTTAATAAAATAAAACCTTTCATCCATTATTATAACAGCTGTTCCTTAATAGTGTGTGTTGTGAGTGTTGTGTCGAAATTAGCCTACCTTCCTTAATGCTGCCTTCGAACAATTTATTGTCGGGGACCCATTTCTTCTTAACACCTTGTGGGTTATTTTTTCTGTTCTTCCAGTTGCCATCTTTCCGTGTGAAACGACTTTGTTTCGTTTTTTGACCTGTCGGTGCCATTAGAGTCTCTTTTTTTAAATCAGGAAAAGTGTTTTTAACACCCGTGAAGCTCGGCTGCATGTACTTCTCTTACACACGCGGAGTGATGACGTGTGTACTGCAGACATGTTAATCGTATACCGAAGCACTGAGGTTATTGAAAAATAAAAATAAAAAATCCAGTTAGTTTCGATATTGCAGGCTACAGTTGTTGGCACAAAGTTTGGATTCATTATCGCACAGTCGTAATAAGAAATAAATTATCATACACTTTCATGCATGCCATATGTGTTGCGTCAAATACGAAGTCATCGAACTTGTGTTATCGACTGCTCATGCCTGGGCGTTCATCAACAGTGGCCGCCTGCATGCATGTTGCATTTTCTTTTTTAGCTCCTCTTTAGAGAGCTTGTTAAGATGACGTCTCCGCCGCGCAGCCTCGCAGAAATACAGCGGCGGGTAGATGAAGTCAAGCGGTTCCTGTCTAACACTCTCAGCATCGCCAACGCTCACACTGTGGAGTTTTACACTCACGACGTGTGGCAGCGGTTTGTGGCCGTGTCGCCTCATGAGGTGCTGACGAGGGTAAGAGCATGCAGTGACCAGCAGAGGGAGCCAGAGCACAAGACAACAGGTAAGTAGAGCTCAAAAAGTTAAGTGGAGTTTATAAAGTAGACTTTTTTTGTTGTTGTTGCTGCTTTCAAGAACACAAGAACAGAATTGCATTTTAAGAAGTCATCACTTGATTGTACTTAATGAGATTTTCTGTGTTTCCACATGTTTGCATGAATCTTCAACATTGCCTCTGTCTCCCAAAACAGAACAACCCAGCACCACCTTTGGGTTTTGCAGCAGCACGAGTCGACTTGTTGACACCGATGAACTGCTGCAGGCGGCCAAGGCTCACTCTCTCCCTGGACTCGGAGTTTGTATGAGCAGAGATGAGCTCCTGCAGGCCCTTTCGGGGGACGGGGGAGGGAAAGGTAGGGCAAAGCGGACTGTCTGAATATGCAACCGTACATGCTGAGAGAAGGAAACCACAGGAAGATTGACAAGAATGTGACATTGCCATGAAATGTAAAATGTTTTTTTTTTCTTTTTCTTGCTCTGAATACTCCAGCTGCTGTGCTGGAGCCGGATGAGTTTATGAACTCTAAGAAGTCTCATGAGGTGCAGTCCATGTCTGAGGTGGTGGCCTGTCTGGCCCAGCACTGTAGAGTCCAACAGGTAAAGTTCAAGCTTAAGTATTAAAACATGACTTCTAAAGAAAGTGGGCCCAATAATAAAAAAAGAAAAACCACAGAGGGTTCAGGGTAAAGCTGTCTGTCAATCATTGGCTTCAAATAACTCTTAACACCTACAGTATCATGTAAATAGATATCACTACACAGACTAAACATACACATGCTTTAAAATAATTCTGTTCTATTCCTCCATAGTTGGTGGATCAGGTTTTTCTCTAAAGAATTTGGAAAATGTTCTTATCATTTACTGTATACCCCATCCATCAAACTACACTTCTACTTTTCTTAAACCAGAGGAGGTAGAGACGCGCCGTCCATCTTTATATGCACCTAATGATTTGTATTCTTCTTGTAATCTTTCTGCCTAACTCAGGTGATAGATGTCGGCTCGGGGAAGGGCTACCTGAGCTCCTTCCTGTCTCTGCAGTACGGCCTCAGAGTCTACGGCATCGACTCCTCCAGCACCAACACCCACGGAGCCCAGGAGAGGAACAGGAAGCTGAAGAAGTTCTCCAGGGTGTACCAGAAACACAGCAAGGCCGCGAGGACACGGGGAGAGGCGTCAAAGTCCCCTCAGGAGGATGTAATAAAGATAAGAGCTGGTGTTAAAGGAGAGGATGGAGGAGGAACTGTGACAAAAGAGGAGGAGGAGGAGGAGGAGGAGGAGGAGGTGTCAATCAGCTGTCCTGACATCAGTTCTGCAGTGGAAAGGCATTCAGAGCCGCAGTCAGAAACAGACGAGCTCTTCCTTAGTGCCCTGTCGGTGGATTTGGTTAGGACTACACCTACCAGAGTTCCCCCCACCCAGCTGAGTGACGAGGAGAGGGAGCGGAGGAAGAGGGAGAACCTGGAGAGGAAGGCTAAAAACAGAACAGACAGCTCCGTCACCGTTTTTTCTCCCCTCACATCTTATGTGACGGCGGAAACAGAACTACGAGAGCTCATCGACGAGCTGGAGGTAAATAAAATACAAGGGTTGGGGGTTTGAATCCGACAGATGGCTACTTTTCCAAATGTCATTCCCGACTCTCTCTCTTCCCCATTTCCAACACTATCCACCGTCTTGTCAGTTCAATAAAAGCACAAAAAGCACAAAAGTAAATCTTGAAAAAATGGGTCGAACACACGCAGTATCACCCGGGTCTTGAAGTCACAACTTTGGCCACCAGCAGCACATTGTGATCATGTTGAGATAAGAGAAATGTGAGAGCTGGAGGTGGTTGTACACACAGAATCGAGGTTTCACCAAAGTTGTGATAACAGCTAACAATGGGAAGGAAAGACAGAATTCAAACTGGTGCCTAATATTAATCAATGAAGAACGAAAAACTTCAGAGTTCAGGGACTTCTCGTTACCAAAGTGAGAGACGTGTGTGCTCCATTTTGACAACGATCCATCAGTCTGTGAGCGAGAAACTGATGATCAAAAGTTATTTTATTTTCATTTCCTGTCTTTTTTTTTTTTTCACATGAGGATACATGTCTGTGTGGATTATTTGTGAAGGACAGTCCGAAGGTGCCATGCAGCCCGTCATTGTAGTGTCAATTGAAAAGCAACGTGGGAGGAGGAAATTGTGTAGAGGAAAAAAAAAGGATTCATGGACTTTGTAGGTCTCAAAGACGGTTTATAATTCTGCATCATCGTGCCTACATTCTGGAGCATGTTTCACTGACTTGTTGGGACTTTTTTAAAAAGATGAAACTTGAAACTTTTTGCTACAGCACCACCATCAGGACTTTAAGCCAATGAAGTGAGGACTTGCCTTGTTGGGTTTATGTTGTATGCACTGCAGTCAAGTTTTTACACATTTTCATTAAGACGGCAGCATACAGCACACGACCGAAACAATTGAAAGCCATTAATAACTCTAAAAATGATATTTGCAAAAACACAAGGGCTTTGCTGTTTGTTTGTTTGCAAAGCAGTGATGGTGCGGAAATGAGACGAGCCGTACCGCTTTCCCCACAGCAGCTTCTGAGATACCATGTCAGCCGCAGCAGCTGCACTTTGCATTACTGGAGCAAATGTAAGGACGTTATTGTGGTGGCAAAATGTGCAGCGCGTCATCATCGATAAATTCTACCATCGACCTCCGTCCTTCCCCCTTTCCCCATTCCTCTCATTTTCTTCCTTCTTTTTTCTCTCCTTTCTTTATTGAATGCTTTTTTTTCCTCCTCATTCTAGGACGCGGTCATGGTCGGCCTGCACACGTGTGGCGACTTGGCTCCCAGCACCCTGAGGATGTTTGTGGCTAAAGCAGAGCTGGCCGCAGTCTGCAGCGTGGGCTGCTGCTATCACCTGCTGTCTGAGGAGTTCGATCCCGCCAGACAGGGTAACCACACACACACACACACACACACACACACACAATGGCAGTGACACACTGATACACACAGGAGGGACAGATTAGTGCGTTTGTGTTTGTCTCTGTCACTCCACCCAGTTTTTGCTTACATTTTGTTTCCATACTTGTCCTTCCAATTCCTCCTGAAACACCTGATGTCTTCAATTTATCTCTCTGAGTAAACAAGGTGCATGCTCTGCTAAGAGTTTTTGAACCTTAGTCAGGGTGCTTTCATGGATTTGGGATATCCGCTGAGAATTAGAGAGACAGGACAGTGGACATAGAGGAAAACCAGAGAGAGAGCGGGGGAATGACATGCAGGAAAGGTCGGATTCAAACCCGTGCCGCCCGCTCAAACATGGAGGCGTGCAAGCTAACCACCAGGACACCTTCTTAAACTAGTGTGAGGTATTTTCTCTTAGTTTTTGCAGGCTGTTATTTTGTCATCTTCCACACTGAAGAGATTGTACGTCATCTTTTTACTTCAGGTGCCATAACGCTGCAAAAACAGACTGAAATCATCTCGTTTTGTTCTCCTTCTCTGCACACTTTACAAGGTATGAAATCGTCCACATGCGTGTGTCCTCCCCCCCCATGAGAGAGCCCCTCGCTAAAAGTCGATACATTGTCGCGTCATCTCTTGTTAACAGCGTGACCTTCAACCCTCGCGTCACCGCTCCTCTCCCTCAGAGAGCGGAAAAATGATATCACGGTGGCTGATTGAAAACACTCCTTTCCTCGGTTGTTCCTCCAACTCCAACTTGATCTCTGTTAAAGAACTGAACAAAGACATTCACACACATACGCTCTCTCTCTCTCTCTCTCTCCCTCTCTCTCTCTCTCTCCCCCGGCTGGCCTTACAGTGCAGCCTGGGATAGAAGCCAGCTCCTGTGGTGGCCTACCTCACCCTAAAAAGGAGCTAAAGAGCTGAAAAGCTTGATTATAAAAGCTGGTCGTACATTTATGCAATCCTCTCACTTAGGAGAAATGCATCCTCCATGTTTAGTACCTTATGTGGAATTAGGAGTCCAGTGTGATGCTCACTCACTAACAATTTTACTCACAACACACACGCTTGAAGATAAGTACATTCGAGGGCCTGCGTGTCTCTCGATTTGTAAGAGTATGTGAGCTTTAAAAATATTTGTCTTTCTGAGTAAGACTGTGCGTACACGACCTCTTCAGATGCAAAGAGTCTGTGTTTGCCTCCATATACAGCTCTGTGTACATCCTGTAATCCACCCTTCAGCTAGAGGAAAAGCCTGTCCACTTCATTTGCCTTCAACAGGTCCTTTGTCAGCAAGCCATGTGCCGGGCACACCGGCAAGCTAACCTGACTGCTAACACGTTAGCACGTCCTCAGAAGTTAGCCGGCCGCAGCTGCACTTATTGCTTTTTTTGTGATCGTGTTCCTATGGAAACCCCCCCTCGCTTTGGCCTCAGTCTCTGACCCTTTTTTTTATAGATGACATGAAAAGCATGGCAGCCTGTCAAGTATAGTCACCCTCCCACTGGGAATCTGTGTGTGTGGTGCTTTTTGGGGGACATATATATATATATATATATATATATATTTTAAATCCTTTTATTAAAGGATATCTTGAGAAATAGTTTTATTCACTTTCTAGCTTCAGTTTTGATTTTCAGATTGAGACCTGTCGTATGTTTATATCTTTAAAATTAAGATTAAATTAGCTTTACTTAGAACAAAGAAATTGGGACAGGGTGGAACAGTTTGCATGCCAACAGTAGTAAAATGATTTACTAGTACCTCTAAGGCTCACTAATAAATACAGTTTATCTGATGTTTAAATAAAATAATAACACAGGAACGCTGGGTTAAAACTGGGAAAATGTATTTCCCACTTAATGTGTACTTTAAGCCCAGTTAATATGGCATGAGAAAGTTAGCAGCGGATCTTCTAATTAATCAAAATTGAAATGTTTTCCTCTCCTGTTATGTCGAAGTCTCCCTTGCAAATATTACTCATTCGTACCCTCTGATTGCAGATGTTTTGCAAAGCCTGCAATCAGTTTCCCCCATATTATCTCTGTGTGTGTCTCCTCACAGAGTGTTTGCACAGTGCGTGTGGTTTCCCTCTGAGTCAGTACCTCCGCCACCAGTCCTGGTTCTGCGGCAGAAACGCCAGGATGTCTGCGTGTTTGGTGAGTTTGGATGACACCACGGGGAAATGTTGCAGAGCAGCAGCTTTCCTGGATAAACATGTTGTTTTCTTCTTCATGTGAGGAATGTCTCAGTCTGTAAACAAAGCATGTGTGCAAAGTAAACAGTCTTTTTTACTTACTTTGGGTTACAACCGTAAGCAGGATATGTGTGTTTTATTAAAAATGAGGTTTCAGCTAAGTGTCACAAGTGGTTATTACCTACATCAAATTTTTCTTTTTGCATTTATGTCCAAAAAAAACAGGCGCTGGAGAGAGTTTCAGTCGGTCAAGGGGTAAGTTAGGAACACATTTAAACTGTAATCACTATTATAAATTCAGTCATCATTGCACAAGAATGTGTGTTAAATGGTTTTCTCTGATGAATCACAACTTCACACTTGTCAAATCTAATCAATCAAATCGTTTCAAACCTCGAACATGGGCGTTCACACAAGTTACACAAGTCTGTGTTTTATCTTCATCCTCAATCTGTGTCATGCATTCAAACAATCAGCTCGTTAATTCTGCTGTTGTTGTAAGTCTTTGATTGACTTCATTGTATTTAAATTTGAAATTTAGAGCTCGGGGGTTCTAAGCCAGAGCTGATACACGAAAACCACCAGCAGTAATTAGTAGGGCATGTTTATAAATGATAATGTAATCAATGTTGGATTGATTTGTTGACTCGGGGCTTGATTGCCTGCTAGTCTTGCATCAGGCTTTGAAAGTGTCAGAAATATTCTTCGACTGTTTGTACGCATTCTGGAGGAATTAAAAAAACCTTTTCCTGATGCAGTACAAATAAATTGTGTTGAATCACGTTGACTTACACGACATTGTTTCTTTTACAGATTCAGATGGAGTCTCTGTTTTACCGGGCAGTCCTTCATGTTATTCTGAGGGATCACTACAGCTCCTTTAAAAGGTAACACACACACAGCTGTCTGCATCTGGTATCACTTAATTTGATAAATAACAGCATGTATCAAGAGCCTTTCATATTCCATAAAATGATGCAGCCAGGTAGAGCTGGGTATTGTCCACAACTTCACAATTCAATTAGATTTCAATTCTTTTGGTCAAGATTCAATTTGATAGCGATTCGATTTGATATTGATCAATATGCTTCGATTTTGATTTAATAATACACATGACAGAAATAGCCAGATAACTTATCACACTACCTTCTGATTATTGTTAAATAATCATTTGTGCAATATTTGTATTGGTTAAGAACAAACTGACTCCACAATGTGTTTAATCGTTTCATTATTCTTTAATAAACAAAGAATAAAACGCTCTGAAGTGAACAATTAGTAGAGAGGTAGAAGTGGCTTTGATTCTGCAACCTCTCCAGCCAAAATACCAAAGTCTCAGCAGCAGGGATATTAATGCTTAGACTTTAGTATTTTGGCTTCACTTTTGTACAACAGTAGGAGGTGGATACTCGACGTGCATCTTTATATACAGTCTATGTTTGGTTCTGGTTTCTTTTGTGAGCAATGTTTTAGTTTAGTTTGTTTGTTTAAACAGGCATTAATGATTTCAAGGCAAAGATTATACATTCTTTGGCTGAATATTCTGTCTGTCCGTGTGTTTGCTCTGCAGTGAAAAGCGAGTCGGGAACGTCTACTCCAAGGCTAAATCCTTCGTGGACTATGTGCGTCGAGCTCTGCGCAGACTGGAACTGGATGAATCAAAGGTCAGGAGCAAAAATATTACAGCTTTTCTGGGTTCTGGATTTTCCAGGCACCAGGATGTTTAGGACTTAATCATCTGGTTTGCCCTGGGTATCTATGGCAATGAGGATGACGTATTTATGCCTGTTTTATATCACTAGCACCTCCAACAGAAATAAAAACCCTCCTTATACTTTCACTTCACATACTTTAACTCCTCATCACAATCCCCTTCCTCCCACTTTTATCCTCCTGCAAATCCCTCCTGTTCTCACTCCTCTTTTTTTTTTCCTCAGCTTTCTGACAGCGACATCCAGGAGTACCACGACATCTACAGGCCAAGAATGGATGAGATGCATGCCTTTAATATGGTAAGTCCTCCATACATTATCTCTGTATTAAAACTTCATCCTATACTTCCAGTCACATCAGCCTTTTTTAGCTTAACTTTGTGTAAAACATTTCCAATGCCAATAAACTGCACACCATCAAATGAGATCATGATTGTTCAGAATGGGGAGAAAAAAACAACACCCTCTGGGTTCTACTGAAGCCACTAATTGTGGTGTCAACCAACATAACTATTTTCTCCCATGACATAAAGCATTAGAGGCTTTTTGGGATCAACAGCCAGCTACTGGAAAGACTCGAGTCATTCTGGGTTTTAGTATGTCGTTACAGTAATGCTTTAAAGGGACATTTTGCAGGACAAGGGCCAGTTTGAACAGACAAACAGAAATATCCCTCTAAAAAAAACAAAATAAACAAATATATGTATATATTTAAAAAACTGTACAATTAACCTTTTTTTTAATCCTTTGATGTCTTATCTGTGTAGTTGAAGGTGGCTTTGGCTCCCTGCATCGAGGGTCTGATTCTCCTCGATCGTCTCTGTTACCTGAAGGAACAGGTAGAGTCATTTCTAATTTGACACCCATCGGTCATTTCAAATTTTATCTAAAAATAAGATGTATATGTTGATTTTACACAGTGGTGATTCTAGGGTCTGTTGGGGGCCAAGGCAAAAATCTATTTGGGGGGCCCGCTAACCAGAGTTCAGCAGGGCAATGAGAGTGAGTTCTGTTAGATGGGAGCCCCTTAGGGAGGTTTCCTACCGTCATTGCAAAATCTGCACATTTTTGGCAACTGCTCTGGAGCCCCCTAGTGGCCCCTAAAGCAGTTGCCTGCCTTACCTGTTGACAAGCAGCTCCTATGATTTTACCATTACATTATTTTGGTTACATTTCTGTAAACACAGTATTGCAATAATATTTTTGCAATACAATAATATGAAATAGTAAAATAATGTTTAAACTCAAATGTATTCTTTTTGTCACAGAAAAAACACAAAACATTCACATTTAAGAAGCCAAAGCTACTCAAATGTTCCTCTAAATATTACATTTACTTTTCCTGTCAAGTTTTTGTTAATGTTTAAAGGTGAAAAGTTTGATTTTAACAAGAAATTGAATACATTTTCAGTTCAAACGAATGCATTGGGCTCTTTTAATTCACTGGTACACCTCGTTGATTGGGATTTGTTGTTTTGCTTGTCACATGATGAAAGCCAGGACACAGAAATCTCATCTTGAGATCTGGAAACCCTTTTCGATTCAGACCACTGACAATAATACATGTAGGTGTGGACTTAATTGAAACCAGGCTGCATTTAAACATCTTGAGCCTGTGCAGCCAAAGACAACATGCTGATCTGTAGTCTGAGTCATTGTGATGAGATACGTACAAGAACCAGAGCTTTGAAGTCGTGATTAAACGCAGAGCTGCGTGTCAGATAGACTTCCTTAAAGTAGTCATGTAATCAAACGTTGCTACGTCAAAAGTGCGAGTCAGCTTTCAGAGATCTCCCCTGAGGAGGAGCTGAGGAGGAAATAAAGGAGTGATGGATGGATGGGGATTTGATCCATATGATGATAAGTGTGATGAAGCATGTTTGGCTTTAGAGGAGGAAACATACAAAGAGGTTTGATAAATACTGAAAGCTTTATCATTCAGAATCACAGTGTAGAGTCATGTACATTTGTGATGTTGTGTACAAAATCAACATTTTTGGCAACAAATATAAGGATTTAACTAAGTCATAAGTGTTTTTTGTATGCTGATTTACATTGCCTTTTTTTGGTCTATCCACCAATTTTGTTCAGGCTGAAATCTTAACATCAGTTTGTTTAATTTTCTAGAAGGTTTTACAGACATTCACGGTCCCCAGTGGATAAACCTGCTTACTTCTGTGAGCTTTTATCCAGTGTAAACATTAGGTCTTGTTTTTCGTTTTGGGATAAATTTCTTAACAACTATTGGATGGATTTCCATGAAATGTTGAGGCAAACATTTAAGGTTCCCAGATGATGAACCAAAGGAAATTTGGTGACCATAAAACTCACTAGAATGACCAAATTATCAAGTAAAAATCTTGGTTTTCTCCATGACCAAGTACCTTTAAATCCTACTAACGTTACTGCTGAATAGTCTACCTGACGCGTTAGCAATCTCCAATTGTTGATGTTAGCTTTCAACCAATTGCTAACTAGCATACCAGCTTAAAGTTAATTTAATGCTAACTGAAGCTGTCTGGACTTTGCTATCTATAGCTAACCATGAATGTAATGTTGTGTTTAAACCTTTAACATGGCTCCAGGTTCATATGTATTTTTACTATTGTGTTACCTCATCTGCGTTGGTATATTTTAATACTAATTTAGCACATGTTAGCATGCTAACAAGCATAATCAGATGATGAATAGGTTAACATAATTCTTGCCAAACTAAATTTGGCAAGTGTAATGTTTTTTTTTTTTTTGCATTGTCACTGTAGTTCTTTTAGCATGCTAATACTAGCATTTTAAGCTAACACTGCATTCACTTAATGTTGTTTGGACTGGTGGGAAAAAAAACTGAAGACTCCATTTATGGAAGCCAGATCCAATGAAATAATGAAGAAAACGTTTTTAGCACAAGCACTTCCACAGTGTTGACATCTGCTTTCACTTTTAGGACAACTCTTCCAAAAAAACATACCACGGCAAAAGTAGCTCAAAAGGTAGTTTGACCGCAAGACTAGCGAGGTATATTGGTGGACGTCTCCAAGTATTCTGGGACTTTTAATAAATGTAACCAGCAAAGGAAGACAAACGTACACGAAGAGGAGTCCACCTGAAACAATATTTGTTCAGATGTTTCTTTCCCCCTGGGGTTTCAGCAGAGTCATCTTTAATGGAGTGGTAATCATACAACAGGTTATTCCAGCCAAAGCAAAACTGGGAGGAGAATCACGATTTTTGTGATGTGTTTCTTATTCAGTAATATTGGGTTTTTTTTGGGTTTTTTTAAATGATTTTTAATGTGTGTCCCGCAGGAGGATTTGTCATTCTCAGCACTGGTGCAACTGTTTAATCCCCTGCTGTCACCGAGATGTTATGCTGTCGTTGGACTGAAGAGTTATGAAAGAAAATGTTCAAGCTAAGTATGAGCAACAATCATACTTCAGAACTGTTGTGGTTTTCTTTTGTGGTTGTTTTAATGCTATGATTTATTTATGCTGTCTCTGTGACACATTCAATATCTTATCCTCTACTGTTTTTAATTCAAATTAAATCTTTATAATTTTTAAGTATTCCTCGTTGATGGTGTGTCTCCTTTCCTGCCAAAAAAACACCTGGAAAAACTGTCAGGCCTGTTTGATTGAAATGTATCCGTCTAAGCCTTTTTTGTCTTCATGTGTAGTGAGTGACCTGACTCTGGAGAACACTTGTGTTTTAAGGACCATTCGGGGAGCCAGGGGGCATTATGGGATTTAGGACCCCCTCATCAGAGAGGCCTGGAAACCCCATTTTGAGGGGCTCCCCCAAAACCATAGGAAGTAAGGGAGAAGATACAGAGCAAAGAGGCGCCCTTGACCCTGTTTTACTTCTGTTTTTCTTTGTCGTCGGTCATCCAATATATCATGCTCCTCTTACATGTTTGATAACAAATGTTATAGTCCTGAGAACGCACGTGAGTTATGGTGGTGGGAAACACACTGAGGCTGATAGAAGGCAGACTCAAGGCGTAAGGTGAAAAGCTGAGGAGGTACCATAAAACATCAAACTGTGAACTAGGGATGCAACGATACACTAAACTATGAGACAAATGAAGTAACACTTTAATACACTCTATATGCATTTCTACTCTTTCAAATTTTTAAAGGACTTAAATAGAGATAACAGTTAAACAAATGGTCCAAACCACTTCCTCTGATCACACCTCTCTCTGTTTCTTCTCATCTGTCATCTGTAGCTGACTGTCCATTCTAAAGCCAAAGGTCTGACATTGTTGTTGTGCTGAAACGGTGTCCAAGAGATTTATTTATTTTATTTATCTCAGCAGAGAGAGACGATGCTCTGTGCTGCGTCTGGACCGTGTTTGGCTCCAGCTACTTGTTTTGCACTGACAGCCTGCACTAGAGGCCAAAACCGGCCGAACACAAACGCAAGCAATTCAAGATGTGAACGCAGCTTCTTTTTTTTTTTTCGGGATATAAATGTTGCTAGGTTTTTTTTTTTTTGTGGCCGAGTGAGTCACGTCCTGTCGACCTGTCCTGCCCTTGGTGCTTGCACGCATGTTTTGCACACATATGTATATGTAAACACACCCTGGTGAAGTGTCTTTCATGTTCCCACATTGAAGACATGATAGAAGGCCTTACTCACTTACACACAAACAGACTTCAGTAAAGGTTATCCAGGCAACAAAGCAGATTAATGACAAATCCCTGACTTTGCATTTAGAAGAAAACAGGAAAAAAAAAACGTGTCAGGATGTGATGAAGGTCTGGGAGACACAAATAGCCGCTGCACTGGGAATCGTACAAGACAATCCCGTCGCAGATGACTTTACATTGCGAGGTAGGAATGAGAGGAAGTGGCAGGGAAGGGATGGGAGTGCGTCAGACACTTCAAACCCTTTGCTCTGATTTTTTTGTTTCTCACGCTAGTGTCTTGGCACGAATCAAACTCCTGCCACCCTCTTTCCTTTGAAAATCAATCTCAGTGTCCTCCAGATTCATAAACAGGAAGGGTTTGAAAAGTTTTGACTACCCAATAATCATGTTCTCCGCAATTGAATGCACAGTTTGGAGCTAAAAATGCCCTTTCTTGTGAATGGGTAAACTAGCTTTAAATACATTGACCAGGGCAAATCAAATGGTACAGTAAGGAAGGGAAGAGGAATGCTTATTCAAGTCAACACATCTTTAAATGATTACATGAATGAAAGAAAACAGCTGACTATTTGTTGTATGTCAGAAATCAGAAAATCACCTTGTTCATTTGGTGGCATTATCCTTCAGATTTCACCCTTGGGTGGGTAAGCTAAGCTTTAATGCTTTTACGATGTTATACTCGGAATTTTCTAATTACATAAACTAAGGTAATCTGACAAATCACATTATTCCATCATGCAATTCCACTTTTTTGAAGAGGAACTATCCACTAGAGAGTTTCCTGAGAACTTTTGCACCATCATGGCACCTTCTCTGAAGCAGGAGGTAAAAAGGTTCCTCTTAACGGGGTTCTTTAGGAACTAAAATAAATCTTAGTTCCTGAAGTTTGGAATCAATAAAACAGGGGGAGGACTTCAACATTGCCTAGAACCATTAAAAAGTTCCTTTGGTCCAAAAACGCCTAATATAACAGCGTTTGAGTTTCCCACCCAATGTATGATGTCAATGGAAAGTGGCAGCCATGTGAATATTGTGTGAGGTGAAAACACAATTTAAAGGTCTGTAAAAGAATGACATGGCCACATATTCTGCAAACCCCCCTTTACTTCTACTTCCACTCTCAGACAAGCCTTCCTAATGTCTCTCATTTAACCTTAATCATCATCTAGTCCTTTTTTAACAAGCACAAGCACAAACTGGGGTGTTTTTTGGCCGCAATTAAAGAAGACGTTGCCAGGAAGTGGCCCTGGCTGCCACCATCCTATCCCTCCAGTGACAAACAGACTTCATTTCCCTGCCAGTCGCCCTGCTTGTGCGGGAAGAGGGGATTTGGCTCTTGAGTGTTGAGCCGGGCACACACCGCTTGTTTTAGATTAAAATCGATGTCCTCACCTCATGTCACTGCAGTCTAATCCTCCTGAGAGCCAAATGAACACAAAAAAAAAAAAAAGCATTTAGCACCTGTCAAGGATGCATCTGTGGACGTGTAAACAGGAACATCAAGATGTTGAAATGTTTGCTTCGATGTCAACCTGAAGACACACTTGAAGAATGGACGACTGCTGTTTTCGATCAGCCATCGCGTATTTCCAATAACAATGCATGTCCCTCTGATTCATATTTTCCATTAATTTTGCCCATTCTTTTATGTGCGGTTCTTCAGTTTAATATCAAATTAGATCCATCTGAGTCATCTGCCGTGTCATAGAAAACAGACAGTGTAAACGTGAAACACTTGTGTACGGCTTGTAGAAAATTAGTACTCCAGCTCTAAATCTTTCCCTGCTCTGTCCTCGATGGTTATGTGGTTCACACGGGTCAAAACCATGTGCCTGAAATTGTCTTGATTTGTGTGAATAAGATTTATATTACAATAAGGTGTCTTTTTAAAGACCTTACTAAAACTATACTGTTACAAAGTCATTCTTATAAGGCAAGTATTTTCACCTCTCCTCTATTATTCATCATCTACAGGGCAGCTTTCAACTCCCCAAAAATAATTTATTACATTAAGTGTAATGACAATAATAATAAAGAGCATTTTCAGCCGCTGCTTTGTATTGTTGTCTGGCTTTTTTTTTTTTTTATCTGTTGCTGATTTATTTCACTTAATCTGTTTTCCTTTCTTTCTGAAACAACACTTTCCTCTGACCCTTTGGCACAACGTATGTCATTTTACAATGCATCATTAGTAAATGTAAAATAAAAAGCAGTCATTAACTTATCTGTCCAAATTAAGCACCAAACCCAAACAATCATCAAGCCCCCCCGCCCCCAGACGGTTATATTTCTGACCTTCCTGGGCCTAAATAGGAGGTGACATCCTGGCCAATGTTCCACAAACCCATGCAGGGTGGAATTGATTCTGTGTGTGATATCTCCTGATTTTTGGTTGCTGGGCTTCAGTGTTGATATTAATACCATGAGAGAGCTATTTCTGTGAGGGGTTGGGCCCGGGCTGGCTGCCTCCAGCTGTGATTATCTTTTTTTCCTGTGTGATGCCTATCTGCTAGGGTGAAGAGGCTGTGGTTCCGGAGTACGTAGCACTGGGAAATTACCAGTACTGGCTCTGTGTGGACTAATCTGGAGCAGAAATCTCTCATTAGGAGCATCAACGGGAGGGCTCTGCAAGAAAAAACTGTTTTATCTTTTGTTTCTTATATTGGAAACAAAAATACTTATTAAGCCATGACATTAGTTTTGCGAGAATAAAAAACCTATCCACCATGCATAATGATGAGAAAAGGTTTTTTTTTTTTCACAATACACTTCCTTGAGCATCTATAAAGTCCTTATGGTCTGCCTCTGTGAATATATAGCAGGTAATCAGTGCGTGTAACGTGTTTGCTTTGCCCCGGGCCTGTTTACACTCTATAGGAATATTACTCCCTCTTTCCCTGGGCTAATCCTTTAATCACCTGTGACAACTGAAAGACAGAGCAGCTCTTGTCCCCATGGGGCATTGAGACCACACTGTGCATCTTCTAAGCTTTGTTTTTCCCTCTGGAAATGCTGTTTTTTTTTTTTTTATATGTGTGTGTACGTGTTTAATCAAGCTGGTTTACATCTCTTATCTGGCAAAGACAACAACAAGAAGGTCACACTTTAAGGTTGTCTTACTGATAAAACGATGAACCCAAACACACATTCTCATTGGTAACTCTGACACAGATAAATACAAAGAAGAGGAAGCACCTCAGAAACAAACAAAAAAAAAAAACAGCAGCCTGCATTTTCAAAACAGCCCTGCAAGTTTCATCCAACATATTCACACGTCTGCCAAATGTTCCTCTGCATTTGTTCAGGGTGGGAAGCTCAAGTGCTGTTATAATAATGTAGGCTATACTGCTTTATCAGGCTGGTTTAAATACAGAGTATCTGATCAAATGTGACCTCGTCATTGCTTCCAGATTAATAGCAACTGTAAAGACACGGGACAGCGAATATTTGGGAGAACAATAGTAATATTTAAGAGGAAAATAACATATTTGAAAACCATAAGTTATTCTTAAACAACAGGAAATGTAAGCATTTAGCTTCTCACTTCTTTACCAATATTACATTAGCTGGAAAGTAAGGTGCAGGCAAACTTTACATAGCTAGGAATTTATGATTTTCATTTTACTACTGGTAACACAAACAAAGAGAAATCTTAGCTCTGAGCCCCGCTATAGCTTCCTAGCCTGTATCTTGTCATTGAGGTTAAGTCTAGTTCAGAATCAGGGTCATGGATGCCACTGTTACAAATGACTCTCTGCCCTCAAGCCCACAATGCCTTGTCACTGTCTCACCCAGTTCTATACATCTTCCTTGAACCATCTGCTTTTCTCTCTCTGCTGCTCTGAGCTGGATTTCTTTGATCCTGGACTTGGAGACAGGCGTTGGTCCAGCTGGTAGTCAGCGGGACCATGGCTGCATATTTCCAAACTGACGCCCCACATGCATCCTTCACCATAGGGTGAGGAACAACGCTTCATCAATCACACACCTACACTCCTAGTGCAGCTTCTCCATAGACACTGTGAGGAGTTTGTGTATCGCAAATGAATCAATATTCTTGATTTGGGGCTTAAATAAAAGGTGCATTACTTTCCAAGCAAGTTATTGTGCAATTGTAAAGTCAATTGTAGTAAATAATTGACAATGGTAATGTTTTTATCATATAAAAGGTGGATGTTTTTATATACATCTTTTATTTATTGTCAAATTTCAACTCTGTTTTCAACCTTTTGGTGGTTTTTGCACCTTATTTTTATCTGCACCTTATTTTTATTTTATTTTTATATGTAAATACATGCTGCTGTTCTTATCCTGCACTACAACGAGCCAAATGCAACGAAATTTCGTTCTTATCTGCACTGTAAAGTACAAGTTTAAATGACAATAAAGAAAGTCTAAGTCTAAGTCTAAGTTTTCTCGAAATACACCACACTATTAAACGTTTCATTTTCTTACAACCAACTCTCCCTATTCTTTCTGTTTGTTCATATACTCCTTTGCATTTTTATTAGGTTGAGGTAGCCTAAATCTGGTTCTAATCTTCGGCTTTGTTACTTTCATTTAACGTTGAGGAAATGTCTTTAATTTAAGCTATTTGGTTCCTGCTAATACAGATCACTGTGTTTATTTTATTCAATTCAATTCAATTCAAAAAACTTTATTTGTCCCCGGGGGGCAATTCAAAGGCACACAGCAGTACATTAACAACAGTGCAAGTAGACGAAACATTTTAACCTAAATATAAAGTGTCAATTTAAATACAACTTAAAGCTTAAACTTAACTTAAAAATACAAAATATAAAATATAAAAGAGCAGATATGAGTGGACAGTGATTGGACTAACAGATGTAAACAGATGTAACCATAACTATGTGCAGTAGTGACCAGATGTAAACAGAACTATATGCAGTAAACGAGATATAAATATATATATACAGAGCTATGTGAGCTACTTAAAAAATAACACGAGTTAATGAAATAAAATTAAAAGAGAAAAAAAATCCAAAAATAGGCAGTAACTTCAGGCTTGACTTCCGGCACACGATTGATTCTTATTCCCGTGCATCAGTTGTGCATAAAGGCACGATGACATATTCCCAACACCCTCCACCTTTTTTTTCCTCCAGTGCAGAGCGAGGTGCGCATGCGCAGCCTCCACGGAAAAACCACATGCGTCTCTCCGCTCCGCACTCTCCGGTGCCGAGGCGGAGAGATGGTGCACACTGACTGAGGACACCAGCAGGACTGAAACGCGAACATCTCCGAGCCAGACCCGGCGGTAGCTTCACTTCCTAACACCCCTGGACCCGTCTGTTCACACAATGGGTTAGAGGGAATATGGCTAACTTTCACACACTTTGCACGTCACGGGGAAATGCCCTGCGTTGACTGGAGACTGCCGAGCGGCTGAATTGATAGCACAATAACACCGAGACTTGACAAGAGAGAGGGGGAGAGGGGGAGGGCAGGGGAAGGGAGGAGGAGGAGGAGGAGGAGGGGGGGGGACCTGATTCCAGTCTTTTCTATCTCAGCTCTTCTCCCATTTCGGGGTTTTGAGAGATGATCACGGAGCTGGTGTGCACCGCCGTGGCTGTGGGTCTCTATCTGAACACTCTGGACGCAGAGTTCTGCTACGATGACAGGTAGGTTTTTACACACTGAGAGCAACCACCACCACCACCATCCGCTCCTCCACTTGTCATCTCTTCACAGAAGGGGGGGGGGGGGACGGGTCGCCTGCACGTTTGCATGCTTTTGTTGTCAGTATCCTGTAATAAATCACTGCTTATGTGACTAATGTAGTAAAATGCACAAAGACCGAGAGGAGAAAGGGGTGTGATGAAACCTGACTGTGAAATTGTAGTTACATCACTAAACATGCATGCAGTGGCTTATTCTTACATCTTGAGCTGCATTTATGAAGCTTGCACAGTTCAAATGTCTTCATTGCTTCACTGTAGACCTTAAAGTTATTCCTTTGTAAGAACTTAAATTGTGTAAAGCTTCCAAAAAAACTCTTTTAAGTTTTCTCCTTTTTTTTTTGTTTTAAAAAGTATGGTAAGTGTCCACAGTAAATGAGCGAAGTGAGGTGAAGTTCAACATGTGAATTTAAAAGCAGTCCCGTTCCAACCGCCTGCTGCTCACATGAAGTGCTTCTCTTTGTGTTGACGAAGCCCATGTGCTTGTTATAACAATGCCCCTGCACCCAGGGGGAATTGAAGCTAATTTGAACAGAGAGTTTAACAGCTGAGCAAACATGTCAACACCACCACGCTGTGGAGAAGCGTTCGGAGAAACCCTGTGCTGAGCTGATGGACATGGAGATGTGCTGTGGAAGGGAGAGAAATGTTGGACAAATCATGGCTTGACTACAGGATCATCAGAAACAAAAGGGTTTGTTAAGGTTGTGAAGACAAACAAGAGGTCTGTAGTGAGATAGATATGAGAAAAGTCATACTAAGCTGCAACTAACTCTTTACATTTCTCTTTCTTATTAACTTTTTTTTTTTTTACCATGTGAATGTATCAGTCAGTCTAAAAAAATTGCCAGAAAGCGAAAGTATGATGTACATTTTTTTGGGGGAATACTTGCCATTATATCTGTGCTGTGCTTGTGAGAATAATCGCCCTTCATGTAAATGTTGCTCAACAGCTGGTTCCCTTTTTGAAAAGAGGAGCTGGACAGTTACTCATAGACTTTGTAATACTCTTTATGGGCATAAGTGGTTTTTGCTCCTTCAACCGCTCTGTTAAAACTGATGTTCTTTTATTAAGTATGAAGTCGCAGGTATGCAAGATATGTGGTGGATTTCTCAAGGTATTAGTAAAGTGACCAGACAGTGAACAGGTTGCCTCCCTTTTTTGTCCACAGTGGTTGTCGTCTGGAATGCATCTCCAGACACCCCTTAAAGGTCAAAGATCCCCCCCCCCCCCACACTTTACTTTTCAGCACCGTCGCTGACCCCTCTGTGTGAGTAAGACGGAGTGTTTGTGAAGGTTAATAAGAAGAAGGAGGTGGTGGTGGAGAAACATGGAGTGGTGGTAGAAATGAGCTCCGCCTGCCGTATCCAGTTCCATTGCACCTTGCCAAGTATCCCAGTAAAGCGCCCCCAGCGGCTGTTCATCCATCAGACGTGTCCGAACATGCGACGGTGACTCTGCGAGGTTGTCAAGAAAGCCCCCTTTGGTGACATATTACCCGCAGAGCTTTCCTACCTGTTTCAGCCTACGCTCGCACTCCATCCCCTCTGTGAAAGTTCCACTATCTGCCAATGCTTCGTATCCATCAACGTCAAGATGGTAATTTACGCCCTAGGGGGACAGGCACCAGCGTTTTGGTTCAGCACTCTCAGATGGAGGAGGTTGAATACCAATCAGAGGTCTGACCTTCTCTGGTCGTTCATCAAACGGTGTCTTCTCTTGGGGTCAAGAGTCGTGTGCCTCCCGTTCTCTTCCCTCGGGGATTAGAAAAAAAAGAGTTATGAGCAAAAGGTCAAAGCAAGACAAAGACTGAAGTGGAGCGTTACACTGATCACTTGGTTTTGAGTTGTCCGATCTTGGAGCGGCGTTGGGTCTACAAACTAATAGCCTCTGGGAGCGACTGCCAGTTTTACTGGGCCAGCGTTTATCCAAAAAAGTGATTACTGACTTTTGGCCCATATCTTTGTTTTCAGTGTGTTGGTCATTGTCAACAGTTCGAATAGCAACTTCAGATGCAGAATGGAAAGGGAGTTTAGAGGTGACGACTATAAATAGATTGTAATCTTCATAAAGAAAGTCTTTTGAAAGAGATCAGTAAAAAGCCAAATCGTAAATTATAGCTAATATGTTTCCCGCTGATTGGTTACCAGCCCTTGCCTCCTTGGTCTCCTTGTCTTGGACAGATGTCTTGCATAGAGATTATACCCTCAGAAATTCCAGTGGACGATACTACTAGGGCTACAAAACAGAAACCAGAAAGCTTTAGACACTAATGGTCCTGTCCATTGTGTACAGTCTAAATTCATAGAATTATCTATTTATAGAGCTTAAGAGATTTCTGAGAAAGAGCAGCTTGTTTGTAGACAAATTTGTTTTCAATGTGAGCTGAGACGATAGTATCTGAGCCCTCACATCATAATCAAATTCTTGTTGCATGTCACATGCAGTTCTTGATGTCAAAGATGAGATGGCAAGGCACATAGCTCTTCTGTGTGCAGACTCTTCAACTGACTTGGATATCCCAGCTTGTTTCTGCTTTCTCAATCACGTCAAGTGTTTTTCCTGGGCACAGCTCTGAGCCCAGCCAAGCGCTCTTTTGGCCAACGGTTCTCCCAGTGAAAAGACTCTGCGTGTGAAATGACTAAGTTTAACGGGGAGCAGGGAGAGGACTTGAGCCTGCCATATTTGATTCGAAAGGAAAAATATTGAGGCGTGATCTACTGCTTTTAGAGGCAGGCTTTTCTCTGGTTCAGCCAAGGGTATTCACTGCGCTGATGTGTTCACGTCTGTACTGACAGTTAGATTGATTGCTTGAGATTTCGCAGTCATCGTTTTTGAGAATATATTGACCATCACCTCTGAAATCTGCTTTGAATACCCATCATCAAGGCTTTTGGCAGTTTAAAAAAATGAGGCTCTGCATGATGCAGGCATTTAAAGGAAATTGTTTTCAACATCACAGACAAATTGACTATTAATGGATGCATTTACAAGGAAGACTTGAGATGTAATTCAGTAGACACCAGGCACTGTAAATGAAATGCATCCTAAGTGGATTCTAGCATTTTCAGCCCTGCCTTCTAAAACATCTGTGACACCAATCAAGTCAGGCACCCTATACGCAACTGAGAAATGCATTATGGTCCCTCTGGGGATTTAAGTAGAAATATCTTCCAACTTGTTTCAGTGGAGCTGAAGTGTTGATCTCCTGCACCCCTAAGGTATCTTGTCATTCTGTGGGAAACACTGTAATTGAATGGCAGAATTGACCTTGTACTTCATTTACGACTGTAAAATGGACAAAACCTAAGTCTATAGCTTGTTTTAACATTGATATCGTTGGGTGAACATTGGTTGGCACATTTGAAACACGTATCTAATTGTGTTTCAACAAAAGCATGTCATTGCTGAATCATCTCTGTTTTTCATAAAAGCTCTTAATTGCTATCTCATATGGGGTTGCCCCCCCCCCCCCCCAAGGCTTACTGTTTGGTTGTGGCCCACCATGTTGGCAGGAATCCCTGTGCCTCCTCTTGAATAATTATTCAAAACATGTGCCCTAGTTGTGTTGGGGCTATTTAAGTAACAGTATGTGCTTGGAGCAGATAAATATTGGGGGGAAGAAGTAGGCCAATGAGATGAGTAAGCGACCCCTCTTTGACTGAGTTGTGTGTTGAATGTGTGATAGAAGTGAGGGGAAAAGCTGTTGTCCGTCAGGAGAAATTAACACTGTTAAGTGCTAAGGAAATGTCACCGCCTTTAGGTAGAGAGGTAAGTGAACAATGTGCTGAGTAAAACTAGTGTTTATGGATAGTCACTTTGGCTGGTTTTGTGGCAAAAGGCATTCAATCACGATTTTGCACAAAAAGGATAACTGTTTTACTCATTGGCCACAGAAAGAGTTATGCGTTTTGTTTTTGCAGCCAGTAGCCTCCTCAGATTTGGTGGTGGAGGGCTGGGACTATCAGTCAAACAATAGGAAGGCGGGAGCAAAGAGTCTCATCTTGATTACTTGCAGACTTTATTCCTGAAAGCACTTAGTGGTCAACTCTGCAGATGTCGCGGCTTTTAAACTGCTTTAAAGCCACAAATTAAGTCATGATCCCAGTATGTTGAATGAGTTGAATTGAATTTCTCTTTGGGTTTATAATGGTTTCTGACTCCGTGTTTAAGCAAAGAAATGGCAGAAGATGTGCTGAAAAACCGAGGATGAAATGTTGAAGCCTATCTTCTTGTGCTGGGATGAGCTCCAATTTTTAAACAATCCTTATTGGGGCAGGAAAAAACCGTCTCCTGGCAAACAGAGAGCTGGCATGGCTTCTTCCTCGTTATGAAAGGTTACTGAAGCACGCACAAAGCTGCTTCATTTAAAAAAAAGAAAAAAAAAAGAAATCCAGAACATTTTATGAAATGGATTGTTAAAATAAACATAATATCCTTTCTGCAAGTTCCAAGGTTTTCCATCTCCACTTCAGTAATGCAGAAGGTTGGGTTGGGTCTTCATTTAATTTCAGGCCTTATATTGTGTATCCTCTAGTGAAGTGAAAGGCAAAGTTTGGAGTAGGCTAGTATATTTTTAGCATTTGCCCCCTTGTCCCATGAAGCCCTAGTGATGTACTATAGGTTGCTGCTAACCCTTGGCTGGCCCTAATGCTTCACAAGCCGCAGTCAACCCGTCCTATCTGCCAAGACGAGATGGCCAAACCTCAGTCCCACGACCCTCCCTGCATACACACCATATGTGGATCCCAAAACACTGTGTATCCATGGACGACTAGGGCCTACATGTTTATCAAGATAGACATGCTAAGGCCCAAGATTAGTCATGTTATACCAAAGCAAGATTCGGAAGGATGATAACCTCCAACCACCGACAAAACATAGAGAGAAAACCGCTTTCTTATCCGGCTAACATGAGCATCGTCAACACGCTCTCTACTAA